TGAAGAAAGTTTAATTGCACAGAAAAAGAGAGTCACAGGTTGTGTGTGTGTGTGTGTGTGTATGCGCACGTGTGCATATTAGAGTTAGCGGAAGGGAATGTCCTAGGGGTCAGAAGTGATGGCAGGGGTTAACGTGTCTTTGCTGTGTGCGCACCAGCTGATGGGTTCGGTAAGTTGGTTTGGGCTCTTATTTTAGCTGCCTTGCCTCTGCCTTGGAATGCTACATATATCTGAGGCTCATCCATTTTCATACAAAGATCATTAGAAGAGAAGGAACTATGGGTCCAGAGGTTTTGCATTTGGGAATCTGAAACCTGTTACATCTTTGAACTTAGGTTTTAGGACAGGTTCCTTTTTCCCTTACAATTTGGTGGTGTCACCCATAGCAGCTATTTGCATTTGCATCCATTCCAAATGAATCCATTTTTTCAGCCAGATGCTGAAGACTTCTACTGCTTGTTCCAGAAAGTTTATCTGAAGCACTCCACTTCTAAATGTGTAAACTTCTCCACTTTCAGATATTTAACATGTCCCTGCTAGTACATTTTCTACTGTTTCTGTGTTAAAAATTGTAAATTATAGTTGGCATAGATTGGATGGAACTCATCAATCTAGATCTCTACAAAAAGTCAGTATAGGATGTACAGGCAATATTTGGTGCCTCAGTCTGCTCTCTAGCCTGCAACACTGGAATTGGACCATGCCATGTTCTCACTGGATCTTTTTATTTTACCAAAAGAAAATAAAAAACTTTTCAAAAAGATAGACATTGCATTGATTAAAACAGACTTCAGTTAAAATTTGAAATAGGCCACTTTATTCAGTAATAAAGAATATTTATTTAAAAGAATGTTTCTGGAATCGGGAAAAGAGAATTCTTGTGCACTCTAGTCTAAATGCTGATTTTTAAGGATGATTAGGTACAGCAATTATCTTGAAAACCAATTGCCATGTTTTTCTTTTTCTTAGATATCACACTTCAGTGGCTTATTCAGCACTCAAAGTCTCGAAGAAGCTGAAAACATTCAGATAACTACTCATTTGGCCATATTCTCAATTGTCTACTCCCTCCGTGATGAATTGTTATCCAGGATAGTCCTCCTGTGTCCAAGGAATTGCCTTTTTTCACAGTTCATGCCTCCATGTGCACTGCTGAATGACTTATAATCCTACTTCTGTCAAAGAGTTGGCTAGAGTTGTCATAAGTCGTGCAAATGTTTTTTATTCATTTCATCTAGACAGTGGCAGTGGGTACCTCTTCTCCAGAACTTATTAAGCTTTTTGCTCTGGTCTTCCTGATCCAGATTTTTATATTAGATTTTCCACACAATTATTTCATTCTTGTATTTAGCAGCTCATTGGAAATGCTGGCACATGGCAGCACAGGGATTATGTCACTTCTTATTATACTTAAAAAGCTTTTCCAACACTGTTTAATTTTCCTCTCAGATGCATGTTATGTATATCGTAAAATGGTTTCAATGGAAAGTGCCAGGCACTAGATATTAAATCACTAAATTATCATAAATTCTCAGCTTGTATTCCTCCCAATGAATAAAAAATGTCAGGTTGTCAGCATTTTTTTTTTGTATTGTGCAGGGCATTGCTAATTTCTTTATATCTGCTAAAGTTCTCTTAAGTGGAGCAAGGAATAAAATACTTCAGAATCAACCTCTCAGAAAATTGAGTATACAAACAGGTATAATGTAACGCTGAATTAGATGGAACAATCGCAGCTTTCTTCTAGAAATGCTTTGCACAGACTGTATTGCTGTACGACACTCTGGATGTCATGTTGATTTCCAGCACAAAAATATATGTCACTGTCTAGCTTATTCTTCTATTAATGGAGTAGTTGTGCACAGTTGCACTTGGTGCTAAATACCTAGGCTATTGTGACAACACTAGGTTTGCCTGCTTCTCACTGTGTAATCATGTATAAAGTTCATAGGCTATGAAACATTAAATTGTGTCTTGAAGCACAAGAAAATGTATCAAGTGATCCTCTTTCTCAGTTAGCTTCTGCAGTATAGAGACATCAACTGGAAAAACTGTAACACTACTTTCATATTTCTTGGTAGTGTCAATATTTTAAAAAAAGATTTGTTAAAGCTGAAGTTATTTGTGCAGTAATGTTGAGGTAGGCCACGGTATGCAAATACACAGTACAGGTTTCTGTTGCCCCTCACTGTATCATTATTTTAAGGAGCACCTGCATGTATTTAAATGCTGTTCAGAGTCCTTGTTCAATATATGTTTGGTCATCCATAGTTACCTTCTTATGTGCTTGTTCAAGTACAAATTGTTTCTCAAAAAATGAACATTTTATATTGGATCAAGTACTGCTATTAGCTATAGTATGTTTTCTTTTGTTACTTGCATGCATGGCAAAACTCCTCTGGTCTTATCTAGACATTCTGTGTTATTTTGAAGGATTCTTTGCCAAAAGGCATAGATGGTTCCTTTACAGTAATACATGAAATATTTGTATAAGCCTGTCATAGTTCTGTTAGATCATATAGAGAAAGTAAAACAAGAAACTACAGTGGCAGCAAACCTAGACTAGTGTGATGTGTGCTTAAAGCATTACAGGTGTAATGTACACATACTATACTAAATTACACCATTTTTGCCATAAAGATTGGACCAAGGTTACAAACCTAGAGATGTGCCCCTGCACAATCAATTTTGAGTTATAACTGCCATGGCCTTATTGTTCCCATACAAATTACCGCATTGTTGCAAGACACAAGTATTGTCTCCATTTACAAATTGAGCTTGTAATTTTAACTTCTGTATGCTTCAATAAAATCCTATATTGTTGGTGCTGTAGAGAAGGTTCACTAACTCGCTATTGTATATGTAGCTCACTATGGACTGCTATACTCAACAAGAGCAATTCTGCTTGTGCCTAAAAAATAAGGAAACTGAATTAGAACATGTCAGCCTTTCCTGCAGGAACTGAATTATTGTTTAGGTAACTGGCCTTTTGCTGAATTCAATATATTTGGGATTTTAGTGTATACCACACAGCTTTCAGTGTTTTGACATCCCCAAACCACTACCAACTTTTTAATCTGTGCATTAATCTTGGCATGTGAACAACTTACACATTTATGAAATTCTGTAAATATGTGAATTTTTTATTTAGGTGGAATGCATTTTGTTTGTTTACTGCTGTTTAGCTTTATCCAATAAACTTAAGTTTTCAGGGTCATGTTGATATTTATATAACTTGATTCCTCAAGAACTCTTGTCTAGCTGAACTATGTAACAATACAGATCTACTCCAGTTACTTCACTCAAACTTGAGGGTCTGCTTTATATGCTAGGTCTAGCTTAAGTGCATGAGTTAGAAACCATATTCTGTCCATTGTATAGTCTAAAATAAGTGCATATGAACCAGTTTTGGTGTAATGGTTAAAGGCATTAGGCTAGAAACCAGGAAGTTTCTAGCTTGATGCCTTTTGGCATGAAACCAGCTGGGTGCCTCTGGGCCAGTCACTCTCAGAAGAAGGCAAGGGCAACCCATTTCCAAAATCTTGTCAAGAAAACTGCAGGAGTCAAGACTGGCTTGAAGGCTTAGAGCCAGTTTGGTCTAGTGGTTCAGGCACCGGGCTAGAAAGCAGGAGGCTAAGTTCTAGTTCCACCTTCGGCATGAAAGCCGGCTGGGTGACTCTGGGCCAGTCACACTCTAGCCCAATTCACCTCACAGGGTTGTTGTTGTGAGGAAAACAGGAGGAGGAAGGAGTATTACGTATGTTTGCTGCCTTGAGTTATTTATAAAAATAATAAAGGGATAAAAAATAAAGGTAAAAAAAATCTAACATAAATGCAAAGACCTCCATGTCACAAGAGGATTCTCACCAAAATTGTCACATCTGATTTACTCTATTTAATATTTTGTTATATTCTAACTTTAAAGTGGAACAGGTAAGGGATAGTGCTAGCCTACTTTCACTTAAGCATAAGGCCTGCTGATAAGGCCAAGGTCCCACTTACAGCAACTTTTTCCTGTAGTGGTCAACCAGATATCTTTGGGGTGTTTGCAAGCAGGAGGCAGAGACACCTCTCTGCTGTCATTGTTCCCTTGCTGTTGAAGAGTGCTGCCCAATCCAGGGGTAACATCAAATCTTTAAGACCAATGGCCCTTGAGAGATGTCTCCCATGATCTATCTACAACCTCAGAGCCATCCAAATTAGTAGCCATCATAACTTGTAATGAATTCCATATGTGCCATGTGAGAAATGTCTTATTTTGTTCCAGAATGCCTTCCAATTGGCTTCGTTGGATGGTTGCTAGTTGCCCGGCTTTGAAATTACAGGAAAAACTCCTCCTCCACTTTTTCCATGCCACAAATGACTTTATACACCTCAGTTGTGTCTCTCCCCCCAACCCTGTTTTGGTTTGCACACCTTTTTCAGTTCTGTCTTACCCTTTTCACTTGTGGAGACTAGAACTGTACACACTGTAGTAGCTGTCCCACCAATCCAATTTATTCTGATCCAAGATCAGACACTATCAGCACATTTCTCTACAGAAACGAAGCAGCATTTTAATGCCAGTGATGAAAAACTTGCCTAAAAAGTCCCAGATTAGCATTTTGCTCAGTGCAACCTAAGATCAGTTGTTTGCAGATATTGACAGCAGGCATACAAAGATTTACACCATTATGGTATATATGGCAAAGATTTTCTTATCACGCGTATCATAGATTTGTATAAAGTCATTAGTTTTTTTTTTTCAATTTATCCCTTTCTTAATGATCCCTAGCATGAATTTGCCTTTTTCATATCTGCTGCTGCACATTGAGTCCATTGACAATGAACAAAGATTTACACCATTATGGTATATATGGCAAAGATTTTCTTATCACGCGTATCATAGATTTGTATAAAGTCATTAGTTTTTTTTTTCAATTTATCCCTTTCTTAATGATCCCTAGCATGAATTTGCCTTTTTCATATCTGCTGCTGCACATTGAGTCCATTGACAATGAGCTGTCCATGATGAATCTGGGATGAGTTTTGTGGTTAAGTACTGATAGCCCAATCCCCATCACAGGAGTGTGAACGTGGTGGGGGGGGCATTTTCTCCAAGTGTATCAGTTTACTTTGACTCAAATGGAACAGCACTTACCATAAGGTTGAGTCAGTTTAAAGAAAACAATTACTTTTACCATCCTGAATAGTTTAGTATCATCCACAAACTTCAACAGCTTATTGCTTACCCTTGGATTGTTTATAAGCAAAGTAAAAAGCACTATAGTAGTCTGAAGACAGATACTTGAGGGACTCCATTTCTTTTCCTTCACTGAGAAAATTGCCATCTGCTCCAATTCTTTGCTTTCTGTTTTTTAATCTGTAAAAGGACAGAGCCTCTTATTTTAAGATTGCTATGTTTAGTGAAGAGCCTTTGGTGAGGAACTTCTGTTAAAGGATTCTGGAAAATCCAGATATACGGTATCAACAAGGTCATCTGCAAGCCTGTTGATGGTGTTGAGGCAAAACCTAACTTCTGCAAAATGTATGCTTATTTTCCTTCCTTCCTTGGTTTATTTTATTGTTTCTACCAATCTGCCTGGAACAGATTTGGGCTGATTAGCTATTAATTTCCTGGCTCTGTCCTGGGACCCTTTTTAAAAATGGGCCTCATTAAGAGAGGATTTGTCAAACTCTCTCCTGCAAATCCCTAGGGTTCCATCAGAACTTGATGGGATTCTATGAGAGATTTAAGAGCAGAAAAAAGTTCATTTGAACATAACCAAATTCTAATCACTAGAGCTTTGCCTCTTGACCAGGGATTCCAGATTTTTTTAAAGGTTCCACAGCCTGAAAATTTTTGAAAAAAAAAATAGACTTTTAAGGAAAAAGGAGATGTTTACCATTTTCTCCAGACTTGCATGCTACCAGATTAATGTGAGGATTTTAAAATTCTATATGTTATTGCCGTAGAAGGATTTTAGATCAACAGTATTCCCAATAATTTCTCTACTTATTTCCAGTTAGCTGCTGAAAGTCACCATTGAGTCAGGCAGCATCTAAATCCAACAAAATAAATAAATCTGATTATTATTATAAATATGTGACTACAGGGATGCATCGAAATCATGTAAAAACTTATGCAATGGGATCCCTATTGCATATGCTCTTGTTACTTGCATATACACCAAACTCAACATATAGCAATGCACACACACTTTTCTTAGATATGCTTTGCTTCCTAGGAAGCAAAATCTTCTAAAGCCCCCTTGATTGCTGATTATATAAAGTTTTTCCTTGAGGAAGGGGATTTACCTCTAATAGTTAGGTTCTAACTCTATATGTTCTGTGGCTTTCCTAATCTCACCACTGATTTCTGCATAACTGCACAAGTGGGATTTTTAAAAATCAAGCTAGAGACTTTGAATTAAATTAGCTCTTCTCTATGCAGTGTGATCCCATAGAGTTTTGTGTACCTGAGCTGAAAATGCTGAAACATGATGCTTCCATGAAAATAGGCACATGATTTGGAGGTGGGCACTTTCTGCAAATTTAGCAGGTTCTGGCTTGTACCCCCAGTGAGTTTGTGTCTTAATACATCTTTGATATAACATGGCCATAGCCATCTGAGATTCGGGCAGCAGTTGCAGGTTTCACCTACAGAACTCATTAGTCTCTTTGAAACAGCCATGTTTAGTAAAACTATTGTGACAGACCTTGCATGGTTTATAGCATCTCATGCAAGACAGCACATGGAGTTAGATGTCTTTTGGTAAGTATTTATACTTTTCTGCTCTACAGTATCTGTTTTGGAATCAGGCTATTGCAACTGGATTTAGAAATGCCTAGTGGGCAAGCAAACACTAGTCATCATATTTAATGATATTTCTGTAAGCTACAAACAGATTTTGCAAATATGGCACCTTGTGTTTCTATCCCTAAAATGGTCCTACAAATCTCTTAAGTCACCATACATCATTCTTTGTATGAAGACAAGTGATAATAGCCATGTGAGGATTTTAGAGCTTAAGACCGGGCTTTGAGTTGGAACTGGCACATCACCATCCAATTTTCCACATTTTATACTAGAAGGTATAAAATGTGGAAGGGTCTATAAGCCTAGACCACCTTTAGAGGCAGATTTACATAAATGGGTTTTGCGATAGTCTGATATGGAGGCAACCACAGATGTTTGTGTAAAAGTTCTATTGTCTTGCAGTTTGGAAATAAAATTGGGCAGAACTGTGTGTGGTCCGCTGCTGATATTGAAGCTAAACCTTCTGAATAATTTTCCCAGAAGGTTCATAACAATGTTGCAGAACATGGAGGATAAAATAAGCTGCATGGTACTCCACAAATCAAATGCTGGGAAGTGAAACAAAATAACCCTGTACTATCTTTGGGTGCTGACTGCTGAAGAAAATCTGGAACTGCTATAATACTATTGCCTCTAAAGCATAGGCAGGATATCATGATTGATGTGACAAATGTTGCTGAGAAATCTGGTAGAAGCAGGTCATCCCCCACTCTTCAAGGTAAAGAATCCATTCGGGTGATCAAGTGATTCCCATCCTGAATAAAGTCAAAAACCTAGGCAGGAAGGGAACAGGACAGTTTTCTTCAAAGAAACCCATGGAATATTGATTTGTGATTTATTTATATGTATCATGGACTTTGTGGAACAATGACTTTTGCTTTATATATGATACAGTTTTTGTATGTAGCAGAAGCAGGTATCTCTCCCACCCATTTATGTAATAAAATGTGAATAATCTAATTAAGGCAGTCCTTATAGATCACATTAACAAGAGAAACAAAATAAGCATTCAGGGGATAAATCTTCTATAATTATTATTCAACTCCTAAGAATTCAGCCATCTTGATTCCTAGTTTATAACCACTTTTATACACAGCACTGGTTGTTAATAACTAAAATGTATATTTTCAGAAATGGAGTATTTCTTAAGATTTTCATTCTTCTTAGCAGGCTTAGGACAATCTAATGAGCACAATCTAATACTACTGGACTTAATGAGACCCAATATAAAGGCTCTCCAGCATTGTAATTTGGTACCAATGTAATTTGGTACATTTGGTACATTTTCTCCAAGATCAACACATTCTTTTCCAACAAACTTCTTGAAATTCAAAAGCTTGCAACAATTGTCAGTTGTTTTAATATTACTTCCCCCCCCCCTTCATTGCTTCACAGCCATCACTGCTTTTGATATTTTGTTTAGGATGTGTGATTTTTCTTTGCTTTGTCATTGCCTTTTTTAAAAAAAAACAACGTACAGTGGTCAAGGCCAACTTGAGAAGAATATAACTCTTAGCTCATAATCCACAAGAAGACTCCTGTGCTGTTGAATGTAAATGTTTAACTGAAATAATGGGTCTTTCTTAATTCAAAAATGATTCCTCCTAAAAACGGAACTGCTGGTTTTGGTGCTGAGTTTCATAGCAGAACAAAAGCTAAATGCAAATTGTCTAAGTACTCTCAACATTTGGACCCTTCCTAACAGTACTTCTGGTTATGTGGGTTATGGAATTATGCTATCCATATTATTCTTGTAAAATTACAAACAAGTTCTAGTTATTTTCTGAAGCTGCATGCATATATGCCCTTCAACAGTAAATAAATTGCATAGCTTCAGAGTAATTTCATAACTTGTAGTATTTAGGGAATATCCATGATCTGGTTAGCTGATGAAAAATGGATACTTCCTGGTCTGTGTTTGTATAATACACTGACACAATCAACCAAATGCATTGTACCTGTGCATGTTGTGAGAACCCAGAAAACTGAGAAATAATGCTTCATTTAATTACTTAGTTTCCCCCTCAAGTCCTGCTATGCTGCCTCATTGTTGTGGGGGGTGGGGGTGGGGGGTATTCCTGTGAGGGATGAGCAAAGAATGCCGGATACCAAGAATATATACTCCCAATAGGGTCACCCAAGGTGTGAAGGCCATCTCTGTTAAAGCAGGCAGGCACTTACAGTGTATCAGGCATCAATGGTATAGGACAGTATTGGTGGCAGATGATCATTTTAATGATAACAGCAAGGCATTTTATACTGCATGGGAGAAGGCAACAGTAAACCATTCCTGTATTTACCAAGAAAACCACATGGATAAATAAGATAAAGTGATTGATTATACAGAAAGCTGTTAAAAGATGCAGTATTAAAATGACATCTGTAAAAACACACAGAAGATGGAAACAGATACAGAAAGATATGGAAAGTCTTCCAAAAGATCTCTGAAGAAGGTTCCAAACTCAGACTGGTTTTTTAAAGGATGGCACTGGACAGATAGTAACTGATTGCAAGAAGATCAAACAGGGATGGAAGGAGTGTCCTGAAACTCTGTAAGGTAGAGATGTCAACATCTAAGATACTTTAGAAGATAATTGTCTCCTTACAAGAACCTCTAGTACAGGCAGTCCCCAGTTTAAGAACAAGTTCCATTCCCAAGTTCTGATCTTAAATTGATTCTGTATGTAAGCCGGAACAGTATTGTATAAACTGTATAAGTAGTATTGTGTAATGAACTCAAACCATTGTGTATTTAAGTCAAATCATTGTGTATTTAACTCAAATTTTGTACAATAGGCTCCGTTCTTAACTATGGGTCATCCTTAGACAGGGCATTCTTAACCCGGGGACTACCTGTATTAGAAGATGAATTTAGATCAGCCATTATCAAGTCAGAAGGCTACAGGAACTGATACCCACAGAAATACGGCAAACAACAGAAGATCAGTAAAGGTTCTAACCAAGCTATGCCAGCACATCTGGAGGACGACACAGTGCCCAACAGATCAGAAGAGGTCAGTCTACATATAAATACATATAAAGACTTAGCAGTGTCTGCAAACTATTATACAGCACTATCCTTAATTTCACATGGTAGCAAAATAATGCTTAGGATCATCCAATGCAGATTAGAGCCCTATGTGGAAATGGAGATGCCAGATGTTCAAGGTGGTTTTAGAAAAGACAGAGGAACCAGAGAGATTAGTGTAGATGTACGGTAAATAATAGAGAAAGTCAAAGAATACCCAAAAGGCAGCAATATTTGTTTCATTGATTATAGATAGGCCTTTGACCGTGTCACATCAAGCTGCAGAACATCCTTGAAAAAATGGGAATCCAAGAACATCTCACTGTCCTCATGAAAATCCTATACACAGGACAGGAAGCCACACTCGGCGTGGAAGAGGAAGATGAACCGAATTACAATAGCGATGGGTGCACCGTGGTAACATCTGAAGGGCCAGGTTGGGGATAGATCACCCAGGAGAAATTACTCACGTGGTTGCCATCCGTGAGAAATTACTCACCGACTTGATGGCACCTAACCGAAAAGCATGTAGTGAAAAGATGGAGATCAGCATATAAATAGGTGGAAAGGCATTTAGGTGGGGGGGGCAAGAGGTTGTGGGGGGGGAGTTGTAACACGTAAGCTTTTCCCCGCTACACAATTAGTTAAACCGCAAACATCGGCCGCGCTGACCAAAGCGGCCGAAAGGCCACCGCAAGCCAACAAGCTTGCAGAGCCGCAGAGATATCGCTCCGCCCGAAGGCTCTGATTGGCTATGCCGGGCCGGGAAAAAAAATCGCAGCGTGCCACATCACTATTTGTCAACGGAAGCCCTTCCCTCGCGCTCAAAGGCGACAAACGCCGTAGACTGACGTCATTCTCATCCGTCCGTTCTTTGGTCGGAAGCCTATCGGGAAGTTGTGGAAGGCGAATCCAAAGGCGTTCTTCGTGAAATGTCGCAATGCTTCCTTTCTGCTCCGTCCTCCCCCCGCCCACGGCCGCATATCACACCCGTCGGTCTTAAAGGAGACGCGTCACTCTTTGGACCGAGGAGGAAGAATTGGAGGAGGTGCTGAGCGGCTTCGCTTTCGGCCCCCTCCCTTGCTCCCCAGGCGCGGAGCGTTCCGAGCGAACCCTCCGCGAGAAGTATGCGCGTGAGAGGAGAGCGCGGAGGCTGTGGCGGCTGCGACTCCTCCGACCATGCAATGGCGGTCGTTGGTGTTGGCGCTGCTGGCCCTGAGGCTGGCTGGGCAGGCCCTCCTGTGGCTGGCGGGGCCCAGCTTAGGCTTCTACCAGCAGCGCCTCCGGGCTTTTTCCTGCGGCAGCCCGGCCAAGGAAGACGCCGCCCCCAGCTCCCGGTGCCTCAAAGCCCCCCACTGGGCCTCTTTCTTGGGCCGAGCCTGGGGAGGCGATAGCGGCGGCGGAGACGGCCCCGGCCCCACCGCTGCTTCTTCCGGGAAGGCCGGCCGTGGCGGCGACGAATATGAGCAGCGCTACAGCCGGGCTTTCCCGCCTCAGCTCCGGGCCCAGTTGCGCGATGCCGCCCGCACTATGTTCTCTTTCGGCTACGACAACTACATGGCGCACGCTTTTCCGCAGGACGAGCTGAACCCCATCGACTGCCGCGGGCGCGGGCCCGACCGAGCTGACCCGTAAGTTGGCGCGCCGGGCTCGGAGGGAGGGTAGGGAGTTACCCGCCGTGAGTTTCGAGGCTGCCTTAGCTTTGCCTTTCCCCATCCCCGGCTGTGCTCAGGGCAGGGGATGTGGTTTGCGAGAAGAGGTGGAAGAAAGAGGCATTAGGTTAGCATCATATGGGGGACAGCAGTCTTCATTGCAAGTTAAATGGGCAGTGAGTGTCTGCGGTATGGCAATTTAGGGATTTGGCTTTAGAGAGAAATGAGACATACGGAGCAGCTTTAGAGTGCACTTTTTCAAAAAGGAGATAGATTATGAGGACTGAGAGGTACACTGAAAGTAAATTTTAAAATAACTTTTACCCTTTTGATTCAGTTCATTGCTATGCATTGCATATATAAGAACAACTAAATGTCACAGATACTCTGATTTAGGAGTTTGAAAATAGCAGTAATAGTCCCCAATAGTAAGTGTGGAAAGGAGTGCAAGGATGGAAAATTTGAAGGACACGCGAGTGAAGCTTGATTTCAAGATATGAACAGTTGAAAAGTAGAATTAGTAATGATAGTGATAATAAAATATGACTACTTATTTTTTACTGAAGTCAACTGGAGTGCCTGTCTTCCACTTCTTTGAAGATGCATACAGAAGGAGCTGCTAGAGGGTGACAACCACTGATTTAGTAGAGCTTTTTTCAAATTCTTTTTATTTGTTAGATTTTACAGTTCTGATAAAAGCATCTGATAGAATTATATTGAATTTGGTGATAATATTTTGTGTGTTGTTTATACTTCTGAAGATCTTTGACCTTCTTGAAAATTGCATAAGCATTGCTTCATTCCTCCCAAGAGGAATCTTTCTCAGGTGTAAAGACTAAGCTTACTGCTTTGAAAGTACTAATAATTTCTGTGTGAGCCTCTCTCTTGCAGCTACATATATTAACATCAGATTGCTTCTGAATAGTTGCATGTGAATGGTGTAGTGCACCCTGTAGATTAACAAATCTAAGGGGACATGTCTCATTCTGTATACTTTTGGGCAACTTGATTTAGAAGTGAGTTTTATAACACCTTGAAAATCAATACAGTCTTTTCTAAATAATGCAAACCTGAGAATATAATAAAAACCCTGTTGGATAATGCCTTTTCTAGTCTAACATTCTCTTCTCAGAATGGCTAATTCATAATAATAATAAATAATAATTTATTGGACAATAGATCATCTTTAATGTTGTTCTCAACAAGTGGCATTGATTTTGGAGATAGGACATGTATATATGTGTGTATAAAATTCATCATAACCAGTAGGTGCAAGTCACTTGGAATAATACTTTGTGTGCAGCAAAACCATGAGTGAAACATTGCTGATTTAGGCAGTTGGTCTTGCCAAAGGTTAGCATGGCCACTTTAACAGCTATACCTATGAGTACATTCATAGATTTCAACTTTGTTGGGACTGCTGCCAGATTGAAGCAACCTTCCGAATAATTTCTATAGCCCTAATGAATAATAGCTATTGATAGCTGCCAGTTCAATATAGACTTATTCTCTATGGCTATGCTTATATATTGCACTATAAGATTCGGTAGTTTAACAGGACATGGCATGATTATTTTTGACAATCCTAAATGCCCCTGTACTTCATTGGATGCTCCTAAAATCTGCTAGTTTGAGTTATGAGAAAAGGATTTTTTTTTTACACATATTTTGGCTGCCTTTTTTTCTACCTTTCATGGCTCTAAAATCTCCTTTTTTCAGTCTTGGTGATTAACATTGCATATAGTGTTCCAAATGCAGTTGAATTATACATGTGTACTGGTATTATAATGCATACAATATTGGGAGTCTTTATTTTTAGTCTCTCTTCTGGCGTTCCCTATATGGAATTACTTACACAGGTGCCACAATACTTTTCATTGAGTTATGTAACACATTCCCCAAGATCTTTAATCAACTTGGTCCTCATAAGAATATTTATAATGTTAATTTTTTGCTTCCATGTGCGTTCCATTTTACTTTGTAACAGTGATCTTCATTTGCCATTTTATTTGCAGTTTTGAAATATTCTTCTGAAGCTTCTTGCATTACTTTTTGTTTTTAGTAATCCTAAGACATTAAGGTCATCACCAAATGTAGCCAACTCACTGTTCATCCTTAACTCCAGAGATAATTCTTGAACAGTTTAAAAAGCATTGGGTCATTGAGAGATACTAGTTATAGTATTTCTATGTAGAAAAATTGCATGATTTCTACATAGTAAGTAATCAGTTAGCAATTCTCATATTGCTATGAGCATAAGTGGGTTTTGAATACTGTTTGAATAGAAAATAGTGGGAAAATGCCTCCTGCCTAACTGAAATATCATGATCTATCTGATTTCTAAACTATTTTTTATAGAAATAACAATATAAATCTGGGATCAGTTATCAGTTTGGCAACTGACACAAGTTGTTACTTATAGAAAGAATCAGTGTGAGGTTGACTTTCAAATTTGATCTGAACTAAGATGCTTGGAGCATATGGAATCATTCAGATTTATACATTTTTGTAGTCAACTTGATGTATCTTTATGGGAAAATGTTTTATTAAAAATTCTTCAAAAAACCTGACAGTTTATTGCAAGTGAATTTTGTCAGTGGAGAAATTTGAACCTTTATTAGAAATAAAGTAATATAATGTGATGTAGATTTTACCCATGTTATCCTTTTAGATGTTGTAGTGGCTATTTCCAAATGTGTGCCAATAATGAGTACAGTTGGTCAGATTTCTGTAATCGTTCCTTCCAAATAGCCTTGTATAACCTGATTTTTGTGTAAGTTACGTTGTAGTGCAATTAGCATAACACACTGTTGTGCAGGTACCATACATGTGTGTGTTATGTATATAAGGACATATGCTGTATAAGGAAATATTTGTGTAATTTTTACAGATTAGGTCTTCTATAATGTGGACAGTGTTTTAGCAGTGTTTCTGGAGTCATTTTGTTAGAATAATGAAGCATTAAAGTAAATATTAAAATTTTCTAAATAGCAAACTGCAATTTTGCTTATTTTTTTCTGGGTGTGTATAAACTCCCCAGTATTCTTGGAGTATTTTATGTCTTTTTTTTAGGGCAGATGCTCTTTCTATATTTTTCATAGAATTATCATAGATTAACTGTAGCTCAGTATACTCAATTTTTTCATCATAAATAGTGGACTATAATTGCTTATAGACCACTTGGTTAAATACAGGGACGTAAGTTCCATTTCTTGAAACAGAGAACATTTAAATGTGATCTTTACATAAATAGAGTTGACTATAGATATTTTTCTTCAAAACAGCTATTCTTAATCATTAACATTCTAAAAAGAAACTGTTTACTGTATTAAAGTGAGAAATGAGGCTTTTTGCCAAAAATAATTGATAACAGGGCTGCTGCATGTTAATTTTTGCTTTGGAAAATTTAATTACCAGATAGAACAGCTTTTCTTTCTCTATCATTTCTAGCACTGCATGTGGCTCCAAGCTTGAGCAATTACATAAATATTTCATATTTTCTAAAATCATGTAATGTGCTGTATAATGTGGAGGCTAGTTAAGAACAGTACAAATGGTCATAGGCCAGTTTATCTATAGGAAAAAAAAATCTGCATGTTTAGAGAGCTTAACGTGAAGTTTTTAAGGAAGTCTTTATTTTTAAAATGACAATATGCTATTTGGGCTGAACAATGGCTTGTTGTCTCAGCAATTGCTGTAGCAAAAAACTGCAAATTATGCTGTGGTTATCTGTGCTTTCTTTGGATCACTAAGAAACTATTATTACATGCATTATGACAAAGAAAACTCCATCCCTTTACAGTCTTGGCATTAATCTTTAGTGTTCACATACCTAAAGAGATAGAAAAAGGTACTTAATGGATAATAACTGCTGTAGGATGAGCAGTTTTGGTCCAGTTTTTCCATAGGTCAGCTTGAGCTGAAATCATCCTGCTTAGAGTCCAATACTTAATACACTGGGCTATATTGGTTGTGATGTAAATAATAGATTATTGTTTAAAATTTCATATGTGCCCAGTTTCTAAAATCAGACTTGCTGGCCCTGCTGCAATTCACTTGAATATTCTTTCTAATCTAAATTAAAACTTCAGTGGAACGTAAGTCCCACCTACCTTGGTCTCAAAGAAAGGTTTCATGCCATGACATTAAAATACAATTCCAAAATAGTTTGTCTGACAATGAGAGTGTTAATATTAGGTTTCAGCTATGTGGCTGCAGCTGCAATCTTTTATGCCCTTATCTAAGAATATTTCCCTTGAAATTCTTTGGGGTGTTCTTCTAGATAATGGTGTGTAGAATTAAGCTAGATCACTTATAGTTTACATAAGCGAATTAAGTCTTTTTAAATCTGATTGAACTAACTCTAACAAAATTTATTTCAGTTCAAATCTGAATATCAATGATGTCCTGGGAAACTACTCGCTTACTCTGATTGATGCATTGGATACCCTAGCAGTGAGTTAAATCTATTTTTTTTTTAATTACTGAAAGGAAAAACAAGTATTATCACAAGAAATATATCAAATAATAAAAAGTCACAAAAGTATCTTCATTAACACAATTCCCAATTCTTCAATTTTAGGAAAAGTAAAAAATAATCTCAAGAATTGTGCATTCTTGCTTTCTTGTCTTAGCTAATGAAGATGTTTCTGGGCCAATATTGACAATAGTCCTCATCTTGCAAGGTTATGGGAGGATGCCTTTCTTTAGCCTGTTGTAGGGAGTTAGTTCTTTTTTGTTCATGCTTGGCTTTGGAGATAGGCATGAGCAAGAAGAGATTCTTTTCCGTGTGCCACAGATTTAAGGAGTGGAGAAGTCTGTAGCAACCACAAATATTTTCAGTTAAAAAGTTTTGGCACTGAGGTACTGTTCATATTATTAAGTAGTTTTATACTTTAAAATATATTGTTTTTCTATCTCAAGTTGTTGCGTTAAGTTCCTTGCTAGCAGGGATGGGGAAGAAATGATTTTATATTAAAATACTTCATATTTTACTGTAAAGCTACTCAGTTTATGTTTCTCAATCTGTATGTAGACTAAACCACATTCACCATTTTACATGAATAGTTTTCCAGGTTTTGTGATGCAGTTATATGAACAAAAAAAATATGTATCAAAATACTTGTCATAAAGAAATATATAGTTACAACAGAACTCTGCAGGTGGCCCTTGTTATTTGTGGTTCCATTGCCCATGGTTTTGCTTATCTGTAGTTTCTAAAGAGAGACCACACTTTCGAACTTGTGGTAAAGGTTTTCACATATCTGCAGTTTTTGCTTGGTTTTTGTTACTTCCTGCACAAGCAAAATGTTTGTTTGCATGTACTATATGTAAAATACATTTCTTCAAGGGTTCATTATCTGTAGTTCTTTGGCTGGAATGGAACTTCTGCACATAACAAGGACCACCTAATTATTAAAGGGAATGAATGTTGCTTATAGAAACAATAAATTAAGAAAAATATCACATGAAGTTCATATTTTGTGGCAAGTATTCATAACAATGCATAATTTTTGTGTGTGTGGATTTTTTAAAAAATTGCATTGTGATGCAGAAATTGAATAGAAAATGTAACTGGAAAGGAGAATTGGAATTGACAGATTTGTCCAACTCTGTTTTAATGGGAGACTTCTATTTCAATTTAATCATATTGAAATCATCTGATTTTATTGCACACTGATAATTTTTTTTTTTACCTCAATATTACTAGTAAACAGAGTCTGTTCTAGCTGGGTGCTATAACTAAATATTTTTTAGTATGTTTTTAAATATTTTTTAAAATGCATGTTATGCATTTAATGCTGCTTCCTTATACTTTGTAAGTTTTTGTAGTACATTTCTTTCTTCCCTCCCTCCCACTCTCCCCCTGTTGCTAGTTAGAAATTAAATTAAGCAGGTTATGTAAATTAACACTTGGTTCCTCTGTTGTTTTGTTTTACCCTAGTAGGCCACTATTATCTATAATAGTATCATGAAAGAGTTTCTAGAAAATCTTTATAATAGAAATACATTTATATGACATTAATTGCAGATACTTATATTTATTTTTCATATTTAAAAACAAATTTGGTATAAAAATGTATGTATACATTTTTCTCAGATCTTCATTTTTTTCTTAAAGGTAATGGGAAATTCCTCAGAATTCCAGAAAGCAGTGAAACTTGTGATAGACACAGTATCATTTGACACAGATTCAACTGTTCAAGTCTTTGAGGCAACAATTAGGTAGGATGCTTCTGAAATTTGAGAACACTGAATGTGAATATGTTCAAGAAATTATGAAACAAAATTAACTCTGCTTGCTGTCCAACCTACGAGATTCATATTATCAATGTCATAAAATAATGATAAGTTTAAAGCAACGTATTACAGTTTAATGAGCTGGACTCATATCTAATTGTTCATAAATTATTATTTAAGACTAATCCTCTTAATGCAAACTGCTTATTAAAATGATAATGAAGTATTTTATATTTTATACTTCAAATTTAGTCACCATTTGTCTCACTCAAGAGCGACTCTGGGCGGTTTATTGGCATCCTATTTGGCTCAGTCTTCTCTAGTAAGATGGTATATGTTCCACCAGACAACTGTGAAATGCAGGATTGAGGGAAAGGGTCAAAGCTTTCTGATTAAGGAATACTTATTTGTTTTGAATGAATTTAAATCTCCGGGAGCACATGAATTACATTCTTAAGTACTGAAGGAACTTGCTGCTGATCTGGCTGAACCTTTATGTATTATCTTTGAAAAATCTTGGAGAATAAGTGAAGTACCAGATGCTTAGGGGAGGGCAATGTAACTCTTACCTTCAAAAAAGAGGATCCAGGCAACTGGAGAAGGATTCTAGCCAGATAGTCTGATAAGTATATGGAATGGTCTAGGACTGATCTGTATGTACCTTGAAAACAACATGGTGACCATCAGAATTCAGAATGAATTTGTTAAGAAAATGTTTTGCTAGATTACTGTTATTTGTGGGACTGCTGTAGATGCAATATATATTGATCTCAGCAGAGTATTGAGAAAGTACCATATGACATGCTGATTAGCTAGTGAAGTATAACCTATATGGTATGACAATTAAATGGATGAATAGCTGGCTGAAAATTAGATTCTGAGAATGCTCATCATTGGTTCTTTATCAAATTAGAGAGAGATATAGAGTGGGGTGTCACACATGGAGTGTCAAACCAAGAAGAACTAAAAGGAGTTTATCAGGGAGTTCAACAAGTAGAAGAGAGGAGAGTGACCAGAGAAACTCTGTTTTTGGAAGGATTTTGTTCTGGACTCAGAAAGGTGAAAAGGTATAGGTGCTGAAGATAGAGCTCCTGGTGTAGGTTCTCAATAGCTGATGAGAAAGGAGGAGGATTTATTGGTTCAGAGAAAGGAGACTTTAAAACAGAAACTCCAATGCTCCATAAGAAAGACAAAAAGAAGCAAGCCCAGTGGATGACAGTAATAGGCAGAAGCAATAGTAATAGACAATATTTTGCACTACTGGAACTCAGTGTTTTCAGGCTCTTGCAGATGAGACAGGATGTGAGCATTCAGAGGAAGAAAAAGAAATACCACAGGATGTATTGTTTATATCATTTTATTAAAAATTTGATTATAATAGTAACATCTAATACAAACTAAACTTAAAGGAAAGAGTAGAAAGGAGTAAAAAGTGCAAGAAAAAAGAGACAGAAGGAAGAAAAAGAAAAAGGATATAATAAAGAGAATATATAAAGAAATAACTTCCAACCTTCATCACAAGTATAAACGAATTTACTGACTCTTCACCCCCTCTAAGGTTACAAACATTTATCTCTTCATCCCATATTTTATCTGTTATCTATAAAGAAATCCATAAAACATCACTTTTTCAGTCCTGGTGTCAGCAGAAAGTCCATAAAGTGTTGCCAGAACTAACAACATATCTTGTTTTACCCTTGATCAAATAAACAAACTTTATATTCCTTTCTTTTATTTCTAACAGTCTTAATCTTTAGTTCATTCAAATATTGTCGTAGGATTTGTTTTCTCTTCATTTCTTCTTTGTCCCATCACACAGAGTTCTTCAAGGCTTTAACAAGCCTCTTCTGTAAATTCAGTAGGAAAAAATTATCCAGGTCACTCTCTTGGTGGTGTCATTTGTATTTCCCTTTTAAATTTTAAAATTTAAGAAACTCAGCCAGTTTCTTTTGTAGATTCAGTGAAGCATCCTTTTCTAAGTCATTCTTCTGGCCTGTCAGTTGTAAATCCACTTTCAATACCATCTCTATCTTGTCAGAAAAAAATTGTTCTGCATCTGTCATTTCTTCAATAATATCTTTTGGATGTAGTCTATCCATAGAAGCAGACATCATTACTGACATTGTTGATATTGTGGCTACTATTTTCTGATTCCATTCTTCAAAAGTCCTTCAGTATTTTCATTGTTATACTGTTTTACAACATTTTACAGGCTTGTAAATCTTTCTTCTATCTAAAAACTTTAGTCCCCTCTAGTGTTCAGTTTTTGACATCATGAAATTGCTTATCTTTGTTTAGTCTTGTAAAAACCAAAACAGAATCTTTTTCCACAAGAAGTGTTTGTTCATTATAATTAATTCAAAATGTTATTATAAAAGTTCCAATATTCCAATTTTATCTGGACCCTTAGTCCGTTTATGACTTTCTAAGATTAAAATCTTATTTATCTTTTTGCTGTTTATTTCAGATTCTTTAAATTCTTAAGCTTATGATTAAAAATTTCATTCAGGATTGAAGGCAGACTCACTCATTGTTTTCAAACTTCTTGTTCCGAAGGTCTCTAATAACTTAGAAGTAGTTAATGAGCAATTTCAGAATGTTATTAAGAAAGTGAGGTTTGCGAAAGTCCCTGCTGTGGTTGTGAGCAAGATGGCTAATACCATCGTCTCCTGGTTCTCAAACCTGCAGAAAACCACTGTCCTGTGGTCTCCTGTGAGGAGCACATGTGGGCAATCTCCTGTCTTCTTATCCAGAGAGGTTCCAAGAATCTACTTCCTTCTACTCACTGGTTCCTTGGTCTTTGCTGCGGTCATCTTCAGTTTGCCATATGTCCCCCAGAAGTCCCAGGAGGATCTATTATTAAAGGGTTCAGAGAATGAAACTATGCTTTAGAAGAAAGCAGAAAGAAGAGCCATGTTGATGTTGGCTTATGATTGTGAGAAATTGAAGCAAATGTATAGTGACGAGAGTCATTGCCTTGTGAACTCTGCTGTCTGCCAGGAAGAAGGATTGTTAGCAATGACAGGTTAATCCAAGGTTATCAAGTCTACTGGCAAGTATCTCTTCCTGCTAAAATGCATGGGGACAAATAATAACTGCAAAGAACATCTACAGCTATCACCATGAACTTTGATTAATTGTGCCTCATAAAGATTGATTACAATGTCTTTGGCAAACACGTTAGCCAGATTGATTAGGTTGGCTTTAAACTGAATCCTGTGAGGATAGAAGTGAAAACCCTGAGTATGGACCACAGGTAAACCCTTTTGCACTATAGAAAGTAGGAGTGTTGCTGAAATGGGATCTTTAAACCACTCAAACAAAAAGAAAAGTAAAAAAGAACATTGGACCATTAGGCATAACAGAAACTGGTGGGATGACTCCTGCGACTGGAATATAGCAATTAAAGTGTACAATTTGTGAAACAGAAACCAAAATAATAAAAAGGGAAGAGAAGTTGCACTGTGTGATAAAAATATTGATCCAGCCTCAGAAATACGTATTAATGAATTTTTAATGCTGTCAAGAGCATTTGGGTTACAAATAAGAAGAGGAACAAATAAAAGCAATACTGCTTTATTGTCTGTTATCGCCTTCCCAGCCAAGAAGATGTGAGTTCTTCCACAACCAAACTGCAGTTCTTTCAAAAAGGTATCAGTTATAGTAATGGGAGACTTTAATTTTTCTGACATAAGTTAGAGCCCATTCTATCAAACATTTATTTTTTCAGGAGATTCCTGACTTGTTGATGACAACTTTCTCCTTCAGAGGATGGAGAAAGACACAAGATGGTAATGATACTTGAAGAAGTGAATATAGCAGGAATGTTAGAGGAAAGACATCTGGTAGTGATGGAGTTCTTATTTTAAGAGAAACTAACACTGATTAGATTTAAATCAACTCAGAACAATGTTAAGTGGGATCCTATGACAGGAGAAACTAATGGAAAAGGCACTCAAGACAGGTGGAAATTCCTAAAAAAGGAGATATTAAAAGCACAATTGCAAAAATTCTAATGCAGAAAAATAGTAGAGGACAGCAAAAGAAGCCAGTGTGATCACAGGTAGTCCTCGTTTAGTGACCACAATTGGAACCAGCAACTCGGCTGTTAAGGTAAGCAGTTGCTAAGTGAAACCATTATTATGCTTATGATCTTACTTCAGCTTTCCTTTGCTTTACAGACCTATGAAGGTTGTAAATGTGAGGACTGGTCACAAAGTTACTTTTTCATCACCATCTTAACTTCGAATGGTCGCTAAACTGGTTTTTATTGTACACAGTCCATAGTTATGTCTTGTGAGATGGGTGGCTATATAAATACAATGAATGAATAAATAAACCAGGCAGTCGCTAAATGAGGACTACCGGTACATAAAAAACTGAAAACAAAAAAGAACACACAAAAGATGGATAGAAGGTCAAAGAAAATGTGCCGATCTGTAGACCTGGTATCAGGAAATATGAAACTCATTATGAGCTGATGTTAATGAAGGATGTTCTGAATAACAAAAATGATGTTTTATAAATATGTTGAAAATAAAAAAACAAGAAAATTTATCGGTGTGCCTGCTATTCACTGAAGACAGAAGAATGCTAGTAGTAACAAAGAGAACAAAGTTACCCACCCATATTGGTTCTGTCTCCTTCACTAAAAAGGTCTGTGTTGTGTGAAGAAACAGGGATGAGCTGAATGAAGGGGCAGGAGTGAAACTTGTTACAGGTAGTCCTTGATTAATGACAGCAGTTGAGACCAGAATTTCTGTTGCTAAGCAACATTATAAAGTGCTACATCACATGGCCGTGCCGCTTAGTGATGCAGTTCCAGCAGTTCTGGTTGCTGTTGTTAAGCGAATCCCACAATGTCATTAAGCATGTCACATGGTTGCCGTTTGCGACCTTCTGTTGGCTTCCCCATTGACTGCTTGTCAGAAGCCAGCAGTGAAGGTCACAAATGATGATCACGTGACCACAGGACACTGTGACGTCGTAATTGTGAGTGGGTCACCGAGTGCCCGGATCATGATCTCATGACCATGGGGACACTGCAACAGCCGAAACTTGGAGGACCAGTTGGAAGTACCGTTCGGAAGTAAGTTCAGTGCCGTCACAAGTTTGAATGGTTGCTGAACGAGTTGTTAAGTGAAGACCTGTACTGTCAGAAACATAGTAATAGAATATACTTTTAAGTTAAATCTCTAGGTCTAGATGAACTGGATCTTAGCATATAGAACAAATTATCTGATATCTTGGCTGAATCCATATGTATTATCCTAGGGAAATCCTGGACAGCTGGTGATGTGTAAGTTCCAGCAAATGACAGATGTCAGTCTGATATCAATCTAGACCAGATCAAAGAGAGGGTAATTATAAATATTTTTGAAAACAATGCTGTAATTACAAGAAGTCAGTGTGAATTTATCAAGAAGTCTTGCCAGACTAGTTTTATCTCATATTTTGTTTGAGTAATTTCCTTAAAACTTGTAGGGCTGGTGCAGTGCTTTGCACTTGACATCCAAAAAGTGCTTCAGAGTATAAATGTAGTATTCTTTTACATCCTCTTAAAGCAGCTATCCCTTTCCTTGGGCTTCTCAATATTTTTGTTAGACTTGAGGGCCTAAATGGCTCCAACTCTGTGTTTCTAAGTTCAGTCTTGGGCTGTCTATTCTTCAGCATTTGTATCAATGACTTGCATGAAGTGATGGAAAGAATTCTTTAGAGATTTGTATAGCTAATAACACCCTAGAAGACAGTAATAAAATATGAAACAATCTTGATAGTGTTAGAGAAATGGCCTGAAAATAACAGCATGAAATTTAACAGAAACAAGTACAAAGTTCTTCATTTAGGAAATCAAATATTCAGATATAGAATGGGTTGGCAGTGGTAATAGGTGATTGAAAACTGAATATGAGTTGGTGATGTCACTGCAAAAACAGCAAATGCATTTTTAGGCTACATCAGTAGAGGTATAGTTTCTAAATCACAGGAAGAATAATTCCACTTTTATTCTGTGTTTTGAGTGTTATGCGTGTGCATATTTGAATGGTAGTTCTTGTTTTTACTGAATATCATATGCAAGAATATAAATAAAATATAGAACACCATTTAAACACTCCAGCTTACCTAGAGTAGCAAACATTTTCACTCATTTTCTAACATCTCATAAATTAACTATGTCCAGAAACAATATATATATATATATGTATGTATGTATGTATGTGCCAGGTAGCATGCGTGTGTGTATACACACACATACACACACATGCTACCTGGCATATACCTGGCAAATTTTGAGCTAATTCACTTAAAGACTCACTTTCAGTTGTCTGGTTTTCTTTTTGTCTGAATGCTGAATTGGCTATTTGGAAGCCTCTGTGAATTTTTAACATAGGGCAGATAGAAGTACTTTATCTAAATTTGCAGGAGGTCACATGCAGGCTCAGAGCTGGAGCATAAGTCCCAGAATAAACAGGATTGAAGATTTGTTATGCCATATGCTCCCAGACTCCTTATACACAAACTAAGACCAGTTTGAGAGTGCAGTGAAACAGAAACATTTATTTAAACAGCAATAATTGTAAAAAAAAAATATGTTGGGACACTACCCAGTGTTATGATTTGTCTGTGACTTTAATTTACACATTTTCAGTTATACCTGATTGTCTTTGAGTCACTATACATCCTCTGGCTTTTGTGGCTGAGCCAAATGTCATTTTGGTATTGCTTTCCTTTTTTGTAAGAAAGATACCAGACCAGGGATGTATATTTTGTTCTACTGAGAGATTTACTCAGCTTCTGATTTACCAGTTCTCAGTACTGGGCCTCTGTATAATAATGGACTTTGCATGCAAAGGACCAAATTTACACAAAAAGCATAAATTGTATCAATTTACATTAATTATCTAATAAAGTTATCATGCAAATGATGTAAATCCCAGGACAGCATACTCTCCAATTTAACTGACAATTGGAAATAATGAACACCACCTCCCCATTGAACTTGGTCTATTAAACTGGGGTTTCTCTCTAATAGTAAATAGTAAGACTATAGGTTAATGGTGGCACCGAAGCCCACTGATCTACTAGCTCTTGTCTCAGTGGAGTGATATCTGAAATAGCTTGAAGATTATATTAACCTTTGGAATGGATTAGGAAATTGCTTGCAAGATTTATACTCTTTAAGCTCATTTCAAGTTGTTAGTTTGAATCAGCTCAGTTTAGTCCAGTACTTAAAATTAGATCAGATAGGTTCTTGCCTAGGATATAGAAGAATCTTAATTTTCCTAAATCAAAAGTTGAGCAGAGGGTGTATATGAAGAGCATTATAATGTGTTCAGACAAGTGGAGAGTGTTTATAAAGATAGTTTAATACATTCATTTCATACATTTGTTTTCTGTGGAGAACATTAATTAAATTTTGCAGCAAATATAAATGAATAAGTAAAAACCTTTTGCCAAAATACCCCAAAACAACATACCTCCCCACATTGAGGAAGGTATTAAATAGCCTATAACCTTTTCCTCTGTTACAGAATATTTTAAAATGCTTCTGCAATAAAAGAAGCATTTGTAGACCAGATTTGGAAGGATTTTAAAATGCTGGTGTAGAAAAAGAATCTTTCAAATAGCTGATTCTTGAATTGGGTCTGGAAGTAAATAGGCAGATAGTGAAGTTCTTTCAGGTCATTTTGTTCAGTACTGTATGAACAGGCTTGGCTTGCCAAAATTCAGTGATCAAATTTTAGGCCAGTTCATGGTTCCAAGTAGTCTTTAGGATCATCCCAACTTAAAATGCATTGCAGATCTGACCAGATGGATTTTGAGAGCGTATTATCACTGTGGCTAAATGATCCCTGTCCAGAAATGAACAACAGCTTGTTAAAATTGGAGGACATTGTAACTACAGGAAACTTTGTAAATAATTGGCACAGCAGATACTTGATAAGAGTATTGCAGAACAAGAGTTTTTTCCCATGGTAGGGATAACCAAGGTCATACTTATGAAATACCTTCTCTTTGGAAGATGTTAGGATGCTGATATCAGCTGGTGCTGATACTATTTTAAGACCTGGCTGATCAATGCAGCTTTTGAATCTTTGTGACCATAGATTGACTGTAACTTTTCTTCTCTTTATGTTGCATAGTGGAATTTACTTTTTGGGTGTTTCTATTGCTTTATTGCACTTTTCTGCCTTTTAAAAAAATATCTTATTGTTCTACCTTGCCTTGAGGTCCACTGATACAGACAGACTATACATACTTTCATAATTTTCTTACTCCTAATATGAAGTGTGATCATAATTTTGTTATTTCTGTTACTATAATGTACACATATACTGTCTCATTTAAAATAATAACTCATCTCATTTTTTTTAGGGTTTTGGGAAGTCTGCTTTCAGCCCACATAATAATTACAGATACCAGACAGCCTTTTGGTGATATGACTATTAAGGGATATGATGATGAACTCTTACATATGGCTCATGACTTGGCAGTAAGGTTACTTCCTGCTTTTGAGAACACCAAAACTGGAATTCCTTATCCACGGGTATGTATAGAACAATTGCCAATTTTCAGGCAAATGAAATTAAGTCTTTAAACACAAGGTGTAACTTGTTAAATATCTGGATTTAACTTTATCTTTAAAGATAACCTCTGTGTATATCCCTTTCCTCTTAGCTCTGTCCACAAACTTAAGCTGAATATGCAGCTGCCATTGTTTAGATGTTTTGGAAAGGAGATTTTGTAGTAGATGTACTGAATGAACTGCTGTTTCCTCAAGGATTTCAGTGTTCTGTTTTTTTGATAGCTAAATACTGACCTGGTCTAGCTACCCCTTTAAGATAATTTCCCTGTGGAATATGATGCAAGTTCATGACAGAGCACTGATGAAACATCTGTCACTAACTTTGAAACTTGCAAAAGATAGTAATGCAGCTGCTTAATCTTTAGTAAGCTTGCTTATAAACCTTCTTGTGTTTGCAGGTGAACTTAAGAACAGGAGTTCCTTCTGGCAGCAATAACGAGACTTGCACTGCAGGAGCTGGATCATTACTGGTGGAATTCGGAATTCTTAGCCGGCTTCTTGGGGATTCAACTTTTGAGTGGGTTGCCCGTCGAGCTGTAAAAGCACTCTGGAGCTTAAGGAGCAATGACACTGGGTTATTAGGTGCTTATCTTATTTCCTAGATATTGTTCATATTATTGTGCTTGTATTCATACAGATGTTTTGATAGCTAATCCTATCCATTCATGTGGATATGAGGGCAGGATCTTTCACCACTGAATTAACTAGAACTCTAGACATTCCCAGTTGCTTGGGAATACTAAATTAATCACTACAGCATGTGCTCTTCCTTCTCATTTTATTTTATGTATAATAGGAATGCATGCTGCCTTTATTTGTGGTAAGTTTTCCTTAATCTTATAATTAATATTAGGTTGAAATTAGTTGTTCTAATCAAATGGAACAAGTTCATTTATATGTTTTATATTTTCTATTTATTCAGTTCTTTATAGTCCTGAGTTCAAAAAGTAGTTTTGGTGCTGCACTTGAGAGTAGTTTAGAAAGACCAGGATGTACTCTTCTTTTTTTAAAGCTTCAGAATGGTAAGAAGCACTGATACTGAGGCAACCATTTCTGAAAACACTGCAGAAGTATATACAGGCATTCATAGAACATGTACATGTACTTCTTTGTATTGTGCCAACATGGTGACTTAGTAAGACACTGGACTTGGTGTTTTTTATGAGTCTAATCTTTTCTAGACAAATTATATAAATATCCATTACATAGAAAGGCAAGATAAGATTATTAAATTTAGATGTAGTTCATAATAACTCTACAAGTTGTGTGGATACTGAAAAATATAAGTTCAGTTTTTAGCATTGATAGTTTAAAAGCATAGCTGAAGAATAATTTAAATGAGTCAATTTCTTTCTCTTATTTGACTTTTTCCCTTTTGTTATGGAGAGGCACAAGTATGTAGGTAAAAATATAAAGTAACATCTTTTCTTGGATCAAATAGACCTCAGAAAGTAATTTTTGTACCTCATGTTAAAGCCTCCTAAATTCAAGATCTCTCTATTTTTGTTGGAGGTTTGAATTCAGCAGGAACCTTTGTTAGAATACATGCTTTTAAGTATGTGCAGAATACTAAAAGAATACTGAGTAATTAAGTAGCAGAAAGTTCCATGAAAAAGAAAAATACACTCAGTATACTTGTCTTGGATTCAGAGTCTGAACTTAGCCCAACTGTCAGTGAATGTTAACAAACCTTCAATATATTTTAAGTAAAAGATAGATTTAAGTAAAAGGAGTACAATTTGTACCTTTTCATATATATGTAACTTGTTTTACATTATTGAGTTTTATTATGTGCTGGTCTTTGACCACAATAACAATTTTAATTTTATTAAGAAATACATAGGGTAGGAAAGACTCTTTCTACCTAAGTTACATCTAGAAGAGAAGGAGACATGAGAGAGAGAGGAAGTTATTTTTTTCTCTTAAACACAGAGACTCATTTAACTAACAATGAGCCAGGTGAGAAACAGCCAGAGGGACAATGTATGGAGACCCTTTCCCCTTACCTATCTTTTCCTATCAGAACAGCTCATAGGTGCAAAGAGATGATGCAATCACCAGCAATTCTTAACTGTTAATCTTGATAGATGGTTGGGAGCGCATCTAGTTCTGAAGTCTTTTTGGACTCATTGTTTGTGAGTAACGAAAAGGCCAGTGGGTTTTTATGCTTTGGGTTTCCCTAAGCCATAACACAAGGCCTGTGTACAATCCATTCCTTCAAGGTCAGGTTTCTTATAAGTGAGTCAAGGAGAATTGTGCAACAGGAAGTAAGCTAAATGTAGAATGTTCTGAAATACAAATTTAAAGCTAGTCCTGTATGGTTCCCAGTAAATCATATACTTTTCTGCCTTTTAAATTGATGAATTTAAAGGTTCCTAATTGACTTGTTTTTAAAAAAGCCTTATGTGAAATCCTCTAAATAATAGGCTTTACACACTGGGCTAATGGAAAGTTCTATGATTGAACAGAAGCTTCTCTAAGTTGAAAGAGAAGGGAGGGCTTTTCTTTAGCATGGCTGGCTGGGGAATTCTGGGAGTTGAAGTCCACATATTTTAAAGTTGCCAAGGTTGAGAATCACTGATCTATAATAATAAACCCATAACTGGCTTTCAGAGGCACAGATAAATATATTAATAAAACATGTTTTATACAGGTTGTTATTTAACTGCACAGAATTCATATACTTAAGTAAGGTGAATAAGGCATTTACTTATCCAAAAGTGTTCATATTTGGATACTTTGTATCCTGTAGTTTTATTGTACTCGGTGTTATGCTTGATTTTAATATGTAGGTCCTATGTGAATTTTCATAAATAGATGTTCTTTAATTTAGTATTATTGTATTTATATGGGAATTTTATGCTCCCTTGAGAGTTATTGTTTAACTAGATTATGATTCAGATATGTGCATTTACATGTAAATAATATTTGCCTTTCTCTTATTCACTTCATAGGTAATGTTGTAAATATTCAAACTGGCCATTGGGTAGGAAAACAAAGTGGCTTAGGAGCAGGCTTAGATTCCTTCTACGAGTATCTTTTGAAATCGTACATCCTCTTTGGAGAAAAAGAAGATTTAGAGATGTTCAATGATGCTTATCGGAGTATTCAGAACTACTTAAGGCGAGGGTATGTGACTTACGGGTGCTGTTTTTAAGTTGTTACAACACTTTCTGGAGACCCAGTTTGGTGTAGTGGCTAAGTCATCAGGCTGGAAACTGGGAGATCATGAGTTCTATTCCTGCCTTAGGTACGAAGCCAGCTGGGTGACTTGAACCAGTCATTATCTATCAGCCCTAGGAAGAAAGCAATAGCAAGCCACTTGTGAAAATCTTGCCAAGAAAACTGTGAGGACTAGTTCAGGCAGTTACAAGGAGCTGACAGACAGACAGACAGACAGACAGACAGACAGACAGACAAATCAATCACTATTGAGCGATAGAGAAAATATGAAATGGATTGATTCTTTCATATTACAGGTAGTCCTCAAGTTACGACCATTTGTTCAGTGACTGAAGTTATGGTGGTGCTGAACGAATGGTACTTATGCCCGGTCCCCAAATATACTAGCACCAGCAGTCACGTAATCAAAATTCAGGGACATGGCAACTGTCCATACTTATGACCGCAAGAGCGCTTCAACTCCCCCACCCGCCTATCTCCTCCCCGTCTGTGCCCTTTTGGCCCCCTGCAGTCTGTAGCCTTTGCCACCCTATGCTCCGCTGACCCACCTGACCTTTGCTGTTTTCTTGCTCCTGCTGTTGATCAAGCACACCTGGCCTGACCATTGGCCTCCCAAGGCTTTCTTCTTGAGGTCGCATGTTGCAGTTTCCTCATGAGACCTGGGGAAGAATGCCTCATACGGCCAGCAGCTGCCTCACGAAGAGCCAGGTCAGGCATGCCTCATCAGCAGTGGGAGCAAGAAGACAGTGAAGGTCAACTGGGGTGGCAGAGCGCAGGGCAGCAGGGGCCTTGGAGTGCAGGGTGGTGAGGGTGGCTGTGGCTAGGCTGGGCTGGGGTGCTTGGGACTTACTGGTGTGGATGTGGCTTCGTGCTGCATTGCTGGGCTGAACTGGGGTGGCTGCAGCTTTGCACCATGTGGCTGGGCTGGGCTGGGGCGGCTGCAGCTTCATGCTGAGCTGTGTGTCTCAGGAGTGTCTTGCAGCCCCAGAGATGCAGTGCACCAAGAAGCCCTAGAGCCGCAACATGGCAAGCAGCCTCAGTACCACATGGTTCTGGGGCTGCTTGCTGCCCCAGAAGGCAGGGTGTAGGGTGGCCAGAAGGGCATAGATGGGAGGGAATAGATAGTTGAATGAGTTGCAGGAGAAACAGTCCCTTAACTTGGAAGAACTGAGGTTCAGAGCTGGGAGGGACCAAACTGGGAATGGCTTGGATCAGGGTGGGTCCTCGGCTAGCAACCAGTGGAATTTGGTTAACAGTGACAAGGGGGAGTGCCAGGATTGCCGTTGCAAGGCGATGAGGTCATGTGATGTTGAACTTTACGACCACATCGCTCAACGATGGAAATTCTGGTCCCAATTGCCATTGCAACTCGAGGACCGCTTGTACATCCCTTCCCACTTGTTTCTGAAGAAAATGCATATATTTTAGAAGATTTCTTTTAAAAATTGTGAGTTAACTTTGTCTTCCAAACCTTGCTGAAATCCCTCATTTCACTGTGGTCTTTGATAAACCCATGCTTTAATGTGTTGCTGTAGAGGTGAGCACCCCATCAGCTGATGTCATCCCAGAATACTCCTAAACTACACTGATAAAATTTGGCAGGAAAACCACTGATTTTTGGTGGCACAATCGTCTGCTTTTTTAGTTCTCAAAAGATACAAAATACTATTTATTGGAAGTATTTCTATGTCACTTCATTATAGAAGACCCTAAAGCAATTCACAATAATAAAACCTTTCTAACAGAAGTTAAAAACAGGATAAAACAATATTTAAGTACAAATACAGGGGAATTTAGTGGCTGAGAAGTGCCAGAATAGACTGGTAGGTTTATAAAAGGTAACTCAAAACACGTCAAAGCAGGGGTGAAGGGATTCTACAGGAAAGTTGCCACTGAATCACCCCAAGCAGATAATGGATGAGAGCAGGCCTTCTCATGAAAATCATACTTTGAGATTGATATAGTTGGAGATATTCCTTAAGGTACGAATACTAGTATCTTGAATCCATAAATCTTCAATTCTCTTTCCCCACATCCCTGGCAAAGGAAAAGGACTGATAACTTTTTGGCCTTGCCTCCTATTGACATCACTTCCTTGCAGTTTTTAGGGAAGACATTTCATATATATAAAATGTAACCCCCAGTCAGAAAGTTGTCCATGCTGTCTATATATACTTAAGGGTACTTATTAGGTGTATTAATAAGCATACTTATATATACTTATTAAGTGTTTAATGTTTGCTGTGCCTTTAATGTTCCCATCATTTGTTGTCCTGTGTCAGGTTACAGATAAGATGCATCTTTGGGGTTGGAACTGTAATGTAACATGCGCTTTGATGGGATGCAAATTTTAATAATACTCAATATTTATTATAATTTTTGCTATAATTCTTGCATTGAGTGATACAGAATTGGATTAGGACTTGAAATGATAATTTTCAGCCTTTTTAAGTTGCCCAGTTTTCAAAATGGAAATTTAATAACTGGACTATTTATTATTAACAACAACAACAATAATAGCAATTTATTAAACTTGTATGCCACCTGTCTGTCAATGGCTCACAACAATCAAAGAAATCAAAATCAGATCAATAAACATAAAATAAATAAAACATAAAAGATAAAGGTAAAAGATAGCAAGCACAGTGAAGTGAGGGCTCTCACTCTCCCTTGCCAAAGGCCTGGGTGATACTTAGGTAAATGCTATCTGTAAAGATTGTGTGCTGTTTGACCACGGGAACTAAAGTTACAGAGAATCTAAATAATTGTTCCATGCTTGCCCCCAAATATTGATATGAAACATTGCACATCATTTTTCATAGGAGGGAAGCCTGCAATGAAGGTGAAGGAGACCCACCTCTCTACGTTAACGTTAATATGTTTAGTGGCCAGCTGATGAATACCTGGATTGATTCTCTTCAAGCATTTTTTCCTGGACTCCAGGTATTTTTTCTGTGGTGGAAATAATATAGGAAATAAATGTATTGTAGTACATCAAGAACTCCCAATTGGTGTGATAGTGGCTGGGAATTTTATTAGAATGGGCTAAAAGTATGTGTGTGGTGGGGAGGAGCAGAAGCCTATTTCTTTACCTGGGACTTTGAAGCCCTAACTCTCCCTAGGGAATGTCATGGTGTTTCCCTCCAAATTCTTTAACTTTGGGGATGCTTTTTCTCCAACTAATGCAAACACAGGTATCCCCGGGGAGGTCTGTTCCCAAGGTCTGTGGAATTTGTGTGTAAGCCAGGACAGTATTATCGTATAATATTGTATAAGTTGTATTGTGTAATTAACTCAAACCATTGTGTATTTAACTCGAATTTTACTACAGTAGACTCTGTTCTTAACTATGGGCTGTCCTTAAACTGGGCGTTCTTAACCTGGGGGCTACCTGTAATGATATTGTTTTGCTTGCTTACATAAAAAAAAGCATGGTGGATGTCTCAGAATGTCTGATAGTGGTGCCTTCTTAACTTTAGGGTGAGATAATTTCTGGCTCACAATAAAGAGTAAGATCCATTTCATCTTCATAGATAAAATCAGCAATATTAGTGTTCTATTACCATTAAATGTCTTATAGAAAGTGTTATTCTTGTTATTTTGCTTCAGGTTTTAATAGGTGATGTAGAAGATGCCATTTGCCTTCATGCATTTTATTATGCAATATGGAAACGATATGGTGCTCTTCCAGAGAGATATAATTGGCAGTTACAAGCACCTGATGTTCTCTTCTATCCTCTAAGGCCTGAATTAGTAGAATCTACATATCTCCTGTATCAGGTATTTAACATTTTTTTTCAAAGCATGATTTTGAAGTTAAGTCCTTTTATAGATATAAAAGCCTTTATTATTGTTACTGCTGAGATGTGACTCATTGCATATGTTAGAATTGGTTCTCAGCTGTTGGTTTACTGTTATTTTTCTTTTAAATAAGCACTCAAATCTTTGTTAGACCAGAGTATAACAACACTTGAAAATAGTTTGTAGAGAATTTAGATAGCAATTTGTAGAAATTTCAGCATGAAGCCTTTCGGTACTGTTACTCTATGACCTGTGGATTAGAGCCCTGTTCCTCCTGGGTAGTGAAAGCTACCAGAGCATTGATGGGAGGCTGGGGGTGGATGGTGGTGAATACATCCTTGAGTTAGGGGGTTGTTCCCCTGCTCTACAATAGGTGATAATGTATCTTGTCAGGAAACCATTGCTTGACCCAACTATTATCAATTAGTGTCGACTCTTCTCTTTTTAGGGAAAGTTGCTGAGAAGGTTGCAGAAAACCTTGGCTTAGATGGATTATTTTTAGTTGAGATTCAGCCATGGGCGTGAAGCTGAAACCATATTAGTCATTCTTGTTAATTAACTTTGGTCTGACCGGGATAGTGTGAATGCTACTCTCCTGGTCCTTCTAGACTTTTCAGTGGTTTTTGATACCACTGACCATGATATACTTCTGAACCCCCTTGAACTGTGAAGGTTGGACATGGGTGGCACTGTTTTGCTGTGGTTCTTCTTTCTGAGTGAGTGGTTCCAGTTAGTGGCTATGAGTGGGGAGAGGTCATGCTCTTGGGATTTTGGGTGCAATTCAAGTTTCTGGTAGCTACCTTTAAAGCCCTAGATGGTTCAGGGCCTTGGTATCTCCGAGACCTCATGTTATGAGTTAAAACTGCTGATCTGGTAAAATCTGGGGGAGAATGCGTGCTATGGGTTCCACTGCATTGGGAATCTCATTTGCAGTGGCCATGTAGTTGAGCCTTTTTAATAATGCCCCTCTCCTTTATAACAGCCTATCACCCAGATATCTAGACTACTCCTTTCCTATTATATTTTTGAAGAGCTGCAAAAACTAGGCTCTTCCGAAAGACATTTGGGGACAGTAGAAGTTATGCTACATCTAATTGGAGGTGTATCAGTTATTTGTTAATATTTTGTTTTCAACCTCCTGTTTACTTGTTTATAATTCACATTTCTAAGGCCACTCAACTCTTCAGAGACTGATGCACAGAATTAAAAACAAAAATATAAACAAAACGGAAAAGAAAGGTGGTCATCCTAGTGGAACAGAAAACCCACTAAAAAACAGTAAATGCCTCATAGAGAGAGTCTACATCCTGCTCTAGCTCAAAGCTTGGGGAAAGAGCCAGATCTTTAAAGCACATTCAAAGGAAGCAGGATCAGGACCATATGAATCTCTGAGGAGATGCTGTTGCACAGGCAGGCACCATAATATATAACATTACTCTTGAGTACCATCAGATAACATTACTTGATGGATGGGACTTGGAGCATACCAACTACATCTGATCTTAGGATGGGCAGAAACAGCAGGTGAGAGGCAGTCCCTCAAATAACTATGTCCTATAGCATGTATGACTTTGTAGGTGACAACCACACCTTGAATTGCACCTAAAAGCCTACTGGCAGTACAGCTTGCATAGCAGAGGTGTTACATGGGTGTAGCAACACATCCATAATTGCTTGCACCACTGCATTCTGGACCAACCTTTCTCTTCACTAGCACTGAATGGAACCAGCCATTTTTTTTTTAATTGTAAGCCACCCAGAGTCACCCTCTGGGGGAGATGGGTGTCATATAAATTTAATAATAAATATAAATATAAATATAAATAAATAAATAAATAGGGGAAGGAGGAAAATCACTGAAATGCTGTGTTCCACCCTATACTCCCCAATAGCTGGTCCAGAAGGATATCATAATCAGTGTATTGAAAACTTCTGAGAGATTAAGGAAGGCCAGGATGAATGCACTCCTGAACCCCCATCCCAGCTCTGCTATAGGTCACTGACAACTATGATTGATATCATCTCCATACTATGTCCAAGCCTGAATTCTGACTGAAAAGGGTCCATATAATCAGTTTCTTCCAGGCCTCTCTGCGATTGCAAACTCATCACCTCAACAACCTTCCCCAAGAAGAGGAGGCTGGAGACGGGATGAAAATTGTGCAGGGTGGTTGGGCCCACCAATGGTCCCTTAGGGAGGGCATGCAGCAACATCCTCTTCAAGAGATCTGAAGATTGCTATCATATCACCCCTCAGTCTCGTCTTCTGTAGCCTAAACGTACCCAGTTCCTTTAATTATTCCTCAAAGGACTTGATTTTCAGTCCCACCCTTAGATCATAATTGGTTCACTGCTAGTAACTGAACTATGTAGCTTTACTCAGCTTTAATTAACATTAATTAACCACCCAGAGTCGCTAGGAGTCAGACGGCATATAAATTTAATATGTCGTCGTCATCATCATCATCATCATCATCTAGCATCGTTTTTTACATTTATTTCCTTTCTTTCATCAGGCCACAAAGAACCCTTTTTATCTTCATGTAGGAATGGATATTCTTCAGAGTCTGGAGAAGTACACTAAAGCAAAGTTAGTTTTCATTACAAATAATTAAACCCTTGCAGAATTGAACTGTGTTGGTGTGATATAATCCACACATATATGCCTTTTAAATGTTGATCTAACAATTGATGTTGAAATCCCATGTGTGCTTACATGAAAATAAGTCTTATTAATTTAATGTTGAGTGAATATGTAGAATTGCACAAGTGTTTTATTAGAAACACTAAGGTATATTCCCAAGGGATGCTTGGAATTGTGTTTCCAAATAGTCCTAATCGTATGGCAAATCAATTATTGATTTTATTTTTTGTATTTATTTTTGCCTAATAACCAATGTTCCTGAGGCAGCCTGAATGACTAGATAAGTTGCAGTGATTGGATTTTCCAACTGTAACTCTGTGGCTAAATCTGGGCCACTGGAAACAATTCTGGCCAGAAATTGTCCAAGTGGCTGATTAGGCTATTGCTGTTGACTGTCCTTAAAGCTGAGGAGAGTTCCATGAAAAGTTTTACTTTATGGGCAGAAGTGAAAAAAAGTGTTTGAAGAAGAAAAAGATTTTAGACATACATAAAACAGTTTTTTTCAGTTTTGATCTTCATCTAATAGGAAATAATAATTCTTTTTTAAAATGCCATTTGTATATATCATGTAAGGCCACCAAGTAATATGTACCTAGACCTGTTCTCTGAATTATTAGGGTTGCCTGCAAGTTCCTTTGAAGCCTGTGTTTCACCAGAGAATATGAAGTTCTGTGAGATTTTTGTTCATTTTTTCCAACTTGGCTAGAAAATGTTGCCGCTGTGCCATATTGTGCAGTTGGATTTCTGAGAAACAAAAGAAGATGTTTCAGTTGTTGCAGCATCTTTATTCTAAACAGAGGCAATGCTTCTGTTTCTTCTTCTTCTCTTTGTTGCTATTGAATCTCTAGTCTGACCTTGTAAAATTTTATCTTCAGAGGTCTCTGGAGAAAATCTATCCCTCTTAAATTGTGAGACCTTCATAAAATGACCAGTTTAATGTCTGACCTTTGCTATGCTTGAAACTATGTTTAAAGCTAAAAAGGGAATGAAAAGTGTTCAAATCTGTTTTTCAGATGTGGTTATGCTACTCTTCACCATGTTATAGAGAAATCCAAAGAAGATCGAATGGAAAGCTTTTTTCTTAGTGAAACGTGTAAATATTTGTTTTTGGTATGTATCTTCCATAGGAGCACTTTTTCTTTAAAACCTAGTTTATTCACCAGAACTGCAATTAGGAACATATTTTAGGTAATAGTAAAATGAAGCTTAAGATTTCCATGTATTTTAAGTATGTTGTTATTAAGATGGTAAACCAAGAAGGTATATTGCAAATACTTTTATGGAACTTTGCTGTGGTATAGACTGTTACCTGATCTATATCCATTATGAGATACTTTGTAGCATTATCATCATATTATCATCACTGGTATAATTCAACCAAGTAACTGGGATAGAATCTTGTCAGGTGACCTGGATTCATGGAACTTGATGAAGAGGGCAGAATTCTCCATTGTCAGCTCAGACACTTGGATCCTTGTCTTCTGTTTTTTTTTTTTTTTTCTGGCAGCCTGGAGTGGTATGATTGCCTAGATTTGTGAGACGGTGTGCCCATACTTGAAGAGTCATCTCTATCCAGCCATGTCAACCTTCACCTTTTAGGAAAGGTTTTAGAGAAGATGGGTGGATGGTAGATGTTTTATAGGAAACAAATTGTCTGGATCCTCTGCAGTCATGATAGAGTCCCAGATATGGAATGGAAATGGCATTGGTCAGTCTTGTAATTCAGTGGTTCTTGGATGGAGGGAATTACTCCATAATATTTGACACCATTGCCTATGGTATCCATCTGGAAGCCTACAAGGATTGAAAATTGGGCTACGTTCTACAGTGGTTCTTCTCCTTCCTGAATTGGTGGTTCTAGTTGATATTAGTGTGAGAAGACTAATTGCTCCCATGGCTCACCAGATATTTGGTGCCACTGCACTTGGCACTATCTCCAGTATTATTTAACATTTATATAAAACCTCTGGGAAAAGTAAACTGTTTATTTGGAGTGGGGTACCATGAATATGAAGATGATATCTATATCTACTCTAAGCTGGACAGGAGATACTAAGGTTATTCTCCCCCAGTGTTTGCTTTTGCCGAATAATAATAATAATAATAATAATAATAATAATAATAATAATAAAAAAATATCCTGTGACAAC